AAGAACATAGAACTCGAAGAGATATGGGAAAATGCGGAAGACGAAGAGGATGGAGAAGAGTTTGAAGATCAAAATGATTCTGCTAGTTCAGATTATTCTTCCGATTCTGAGTAAATCAAATATATCGTCTTTAGTTTTATATATATATTTTATAAAATCTGTTTAAATGCTTTTAAATTTATCATATTATATGCATTATAATTTATTTGTTAAAAAAATCTGTTTCTATTTTATAATAATTAAACCATTCTAATATTTTATTTTATTCATACTTTCATCGGAACTGTCGTATGAAACGTTTGAGATTAAATTTGTACCGCTTAAATATATCTTGATACAAAACAGGGTATATTTAATTAAAGAAATACTTGACACAAAATAATTAAAATTATTTAAATAAATATACCCTGTTTCCGAAGAATTTTCCGACGACATTATTTTCTCCATCGGAAAATCGTCGGAATTAGGCTATATTGAATTAATTTATTTTTTTTACTTTTCTTTCAGAAATACTGTTCCCGGGAGATTTAATTTCCGACGAATTTTCCGATAAATTTTTAAAATTCGTCGGAAATTTCGTCGGAAATTGGTTACATTAATTTCTCGCGAATCTCGTAAATGTAGAGGGAAAGTTACTTGGTTTGAAATTCCCGCTGCATTGTTTCCGACGAATTTCCGACAAATATGGTCGTCGGAAATTCTTATATATATACGGCTCACAGATTTTTGCCTCTTACGCACTTATCACTCTTATAAATCTCTCTACAATATCTCTCTAAAATCTCTCTACAAAATCACTCTAAAATCTCTCTAAAATCTCTCTGTGATAAACAAACGTTAAGGTAAGATGTTAAGTTTTATTTTCTTCATAATTTTGTTTATAAAATTCAAAAGACTAATTATAAATTTTTTTTTTGATTAAGGAGATGGATAATGGATCGTGGAGTGGATATATGGCGTATTGTAATGAACGTGGGTTTGCTCCGGATTTGAATCTTGGTTCCGAAACCCAACCACCGGAGGATTTTCCCATGGAGGACACGGAAGTTCCGGAGACGGAACCATTGGCGATGCCTACACGGAATGATGATGCAAATCCACTCGATTCTATGACGCTAGACCAATTACTCCGTGCTCCGGGTCGAGATAAATTGAAAAAGATCGACCCAAGCCGTATGCACGGAACAACTTGGTAAGAAATTGTATTATTTAATTTATAGTTTTACGTAGATAATCTCAATTAAATAATTTGGTAATTATAGGTATCGATTCGATAAAGGATTCACAAAGATTATCAAGAAAATCATGGAGAGCGATTTCCCCGATCCCGCTCCGAATATTACGTCGGTCTCCGGAGACACAAAGAAACGTTGGTTTAAGGCATTTGCGGTTAGTTTATTTAAATAAAATTTATGCTTTATTTACTTTGTTTATAATTGTAGCTAAAAAAATTAAATTTTAAAATTTTACAATACTAAAAATATATATATTTTAAATTGTTTAACATTGTAGCAAAAATTTAATTGGGATTATGGTCTTACGGGCGAAGTACAAGAAAAATTTGAGGAGATATGTGGGGTACGTTTATTGGATTATGTTTATGGATAGAAAAAGAAATGGCTTAACGGGAAAGAAAAGCCAAAATGGATGCGAGAAAACGTTTGGCAAGGGCTTATTGCATATTGGTTACAAGAGCAAAATAAGTCCCGTAGTGAAACTAATTCTCAAAATCGCAAGAGTGAACGCGGAGGCTATGGCATGGCTAAACATACTTGTGGATCAATGCCATATGTCCGGAAAAAGGAAAAAATGGTAAATAAAAATTTAAATTTTTTACATTTCAATTTGCATTATAATAAATTTTATTGTAAATTTTTAACTAATAAATATTTTAAATGCAAGCGTAATCCCGAAACCGGTGAGTATCCCGATATGGTGACATTCATGGAGGAGACTCACAAACGGAAATCGGACGGGACATTTGTTGATAAAAAAGCTGAGGCAATAGCTCGTCGATGTCGGGAGATGGAGAAAGAGAAACTCACACAATTGAGTCAACAATCAGACACGCCCGATGATTATCAACTCACCCAAGCAGAAAAAACGATATTTTCCGATCGGTAAGTAATAGTAATTAAAATATTATAATTTAGATAATATGTTTTATTTCCTAACAACATTTTCATTATAATAGCAAGTTGAAGTTAAAAAAGGACGTAGATTTGGATACGGTTCCATTCCGTATGACGAAGACATGGGCGGAAGTTCGTCGTATTCACATGCACACGTGAATTGTCAAGCAAACGCAGCCGAAATCATCGAGTTGAAGACTCAATTAAAAGATTGTAAGTTTTGGATGGATACGATGGCCCGTCTTCATCCCGACATCGTTCCGCCTTCTCGCCAAGATCAACCCGGAAATCAAAATGAAACAAATAACGTTGACACTCTATTTGATAATATATAATATTTGCGTTTGTAATAATTTTTAGTTGTTTAAGAACTTATTTTTATATTATGTGGTGAATTTATTTTAATTATGTTTTTATATAATATTTGTGTTTGTTTTATTGAATTATTACAATTAAATTAAATTAATATTATTTAATTTAATTAATTATATTAATTAACAATAAAATATAAATATATTTTTTTTTAATAAAATATAATATTTCGTCGGAAATTCATCGGAAAATAATAAAAAAATACGATTTGTCGGAAATTCGTCGGAAACTATTAAATATATTATTATATTATATTTTGTCGGAAATTCGTCGGAAACATCCATTCGTCGGAAATTCGTCGGAACGTTCCGACGAACTTCCGACGATTTGTGGTCGGAAAATCGTCGGAATCGTACTCGATCTTGCGGCGTCGTTTGTAGGAATCTCCTCGGAATGGCGTCGGAATATGCCGTCGGGATATCGTCGGCAATTTTCCGTCGCTATTCCGACGGACATTTCCGACACCTTTCCGACGGGCTTTCGACGAATATTTCCGACGATTTTCCGACAATTATTTCCGACGAATTTTCCGACAAATCATCTCGACAGAAATTTCCGACGAATTTCCGACGAATATTGTTTTCCGACCAGAGAATTCCGACAAACTTGGTGTAGTCGGAAATTCGTGGGAAACATCCATTTCCGACGAATTTCCGACTATTTGGTTTGTCGGAATTTGCTATGTTTTCTTGTAGTGACAGATCCCCAACGGCGCGTGGAGATTTTAACCTTTTACATTCCGCTGAAAAGTTAATATTTTATGTCTTGGACTCTTGGCCCAAACAAACAAAGTGAATGATCAAAATCAAATGAATAAACCAATATGACTTAAAACAAAAAAATTCATCAGATCTTTTATTTCTTTTTCAAATCTTCACTTCCCTTTAGAATTGCTCAAACATGACAAAACTAAACGAGTGATAAGAGATGCCAAGAATTACAAAATTATAAAAGCTACAATGAACTAATAAGGATGATATAATCAAAACTCAAAACGTGGATCAACGGATGCAAGACGGAGGAGAAATCTTGCCACGTGTCCAACCGGCAACATTCTCACACAAAGAGATGGCTGGACCGTCGCGTCCACGGTGCACTAAGTTAACGTTGAAGAGCTCAACGTTTTTGCAAGGAACATTCTTGCTACATTGCAACTTCACGGCAACTTTGTTCGTCGACGTTCCCCAAATGTTATTGAACTTCACGTCTTTTATCTGAATCTGTGAAAAAGACTACAATAAAAAAAAAAAAAAATCAAATTAGATCATGTCAAGAAAACTAAAATCTTGTTTCTTGTTAAGGAAGTTACCTTTAAGCTGCACGGTGGATTTGGACAGTATCGTTGATCTATGTTGATTGGGTTTTCGACATTAATCATTTGGAGATTCTTGTAAAGGAAATTGGAAACTAAGTTCGGTGAACCTGGCGAAGCCCATGTCTTGATTCGTACTCCATTACTCGTACCGTTAAAGATTGAATCCCTAACAGTTAATCCCTGAACGCTCTTCTCACCTTTAAACTTCCCAAGACTTCCAACGCTGATTCCATGGCCCGGTCCACACTTCACATTGTAGATATCCAAATTGGTGGTTCCTGACAAGATCGCGATGCAGTCGTCGCCGGTTCCTATGTCAACGTGGTGGATCTTCATGTGGTTTGATGAACCTATCTTGATTCCGTCAGTGTTAGGGCTATCTCCGGGAGCCATAATCCTGACGCGTGTGATGTCGAAGTATTGGACTGCGAAGAAGTTGAAGTGACCCATTTTGCTATTGATCGATTTGATGCGGCTGAGTCTCGAGAATCTCACGAATTGGAACCCCATGTTCATAGGTAGAGCCCGGCAATAAAGGGTTTTGTGGCAATTGTTGAGTGGCCAAGAGTAGCTTCCTTGTCCGTCAAGAATACCGCCGCCTGAGACCGTGAGATAGTCAACATACCTGAAAATGATCCAGGTGTCTTGTTTGATGGCGTTAGGATCTTTTGGAGCTAACAAAGTTCCTTTGATGATGAAACTAATCCGACTTTTACATGGTCCCGTGAAGGTTACGGCACCGAGGTAGAAAGTTCCAAATGGTACGTACACTCTAGGGTATCCTTTCCATTGACACGCTTCTTTCCACGCCTTTGTAAACGCCTAAAACGCCAAATCAAGACAATAATCAAACGCGTGTTAGAATTAATCAACAAATTCAAAACATTAATGTTCCTGTAGTTGGATCAAAATAAAAATGAAATTTTTACACTACAATTGCATTGTCTGTTTTGCCGTCACCACGAGCACCATAGCTTCGAACATCGAAGACCTTTCTTCCGGCGAGAGTGGCTGAAGTGGCGGCTGAAATAATACTAGCGACGGCAGCTATGAACAAAATTAACTTAAAACCGCTGATAATGGACACCATTTCTTTTTTCTTGTTCTTAAGTTGCCTTTTGTTTTTAAGAATGAGAGAATGATAGTATCATCGTATTATATACTATTAAGAAATCTACATCAGTGGCTTGATTCTTGTACCAATTTTTGGTTGAAATTTAATGGTTTCTTTAATCGTACAAATTGATTTGTTTCTTGGTTAATATGTTTCCTTAATAGTACCAAATGATTTGTTTCTGATTGCTGCTATGATTACAAATTATAAATGCATATTTTGTAATTCCTTAAATATGAACAGAATATTAGTAGATAAGGTAAATTGTTCCAATCTTGTCGAATAATTGTTGATCAACAAAAAATTGCTACCGTACGGTACGGATTGATTATCAATCTTTTCGCAATAACTTAGGTTTCGGATTATAACAACCAAATTGGGATCGCATACCAAAAACAAGTTAACATAACATAATTAGCATGGAAAATATCCCAGTCCTATTAAATATTTGAATTAAAACCACTAAAAAGTTGTTTCCATTAAGGTATGGTTGTGTTGGGGCTTGGATGTTTTATATATTTGGGCAATATGGGTCTAGATGGAACAAACTCATAGTTTCGGACCTTTCGGTTCTGATTGGAATTAAATTCTATAAAGTAAAATATTACGGATTGTTTTTAATTACAAAATAAATCTGATCTTAGGTGAATTGTTATCAGCTCTAAAAATAGAACAATAGTTACTTATGTCTGCAATATTCATTCAAAGTTAAAGTCCAAAAAGCATGAAACTCGAATTGACATGTCTTACCCCAGTCGAGAGAGTTAACTATTGCCCGTAAAAGCATATAATACTTAACCTGTTCAACCTTTATATACTTAATTTTAAAGCGATCAAATCAAAAAGAAAACAGTCATGAGGTTCCTGAGTCAAGATTTGAAGTCAAAATCTTACTCTGATCCGTTATAGCCAAACTTGACTTTGCCTTTGTTTGTTCATGAGTCTAATACTATTATGATATCAAAACTATACGTACAAAACGTACTGCACCAAATTTTATCAGCAAACAAAAAATAGACTATACGTAATTACGTATCAACTTCTAAAAGCTGTACTGATAAATGATAATATAATGGATTGCTTTGTATACTTTAGGGCTTAAACTGATCCATATATACTTTTTATTCATCATATGAAAATTTTGATAAAGCATAAGAAAAAGTTAATAGGAAGATGACATTAAGAAATACGAATACAATTAACGCCCGTTTAAATTTTGTGTGCTTGGTAAACACAACTGAACATAAATAGGGCCATCGCAAAAGTACAACCGTACAATGAACTAATTTGCAATTTCTAAGAATTTGGTTAGTGAAAGTATGAGTCAACAAAACAAAATATCAGAGAAATGAATTAATGATAGGGTCCCTCAAGAAACTCCCCATGAAACATCGTATGTAACTATCCTTGACTTCTTGTGCATCATGTTGAACTTTTAATCTCTTTTAAATAGTAAAATATACCAAAATATGTTCCATTACTCATTTAAATTAATATCATTCTTTTGTTTTACATTTATATCAATATAATTTAAGATGCATATATTTAAAATTTACCTTACAATTAATCATGTGAATATATGTTTATTTTTTATTGAAATTCAATGTGAATATATATGTTTATATTCACCTCCTATTATTATGTTTTATATAAAAATATTCCTCTGCTGTTGCAAAAAGGTAAAACATGGTTATTAACTAAAAGCCCATGTTGGGATGTTTTGATTATTTTAATAAATATTATCGATGAAAAAAAAGAAGACATCACCTTTTGGGAAAAAAATGACATCACCTTACCATTTTCTAGAAGCATAATCAAAGGCGATTTTATTTTGTCAAAACGAAATATAGTGTGGGACGTGCAAATTCTACTCACGTGCAAATACTTTCTAGGTTTTCAATAGTTTTTTCTTCGGCTGTTTCACGTGATGTGATAGGGTTTCATCAAAGAAGGCGTGCTTTGACCCAACCAAATGAAAATGCAATATGATTTTGGTAATTTAAATATTTTAGATAGTAATAATGATATATAAATTTTAATGTTTGGTCCTTCAAGGCTGCTTGATGTTATTAACGGTCAACATGTCTCAATGATCAAAGAGTCGTCCTTATCTATGCACAAAGCCATGTGAGTTTGATTGATCTCGCGAAAGTTAGAATGATTGTTGCTTTGTATAACAAATACTCTTGAGCTTGTTTACAGTTCTTAATAATAGTTTATAAAAAAGTTTATATGTAGTTAATCTTTTATTTTAACAATTAGTGATAATAAATTTAATTTTTTGCTGTTTTAAAATTGTTTAAGTTGACAGTTGCTGTTAAATTCTACGGGATAGACAAAATTTAGTAATCGTTTCATCATAAAATTCATTGGTAAGCATTGCTAGAACTAGAACCATAAATATTGTTCGGCCAATATAATAATTAGGAAAATATTTTTAACAACAAAATAATAAAAATAATTAGGAAATTCAACGAATATGATTAAAAAGCTTGGTCGTCGAAAATGTATCATGACGTCAGGAAGAAAAAAAACAAGAAAAAACTAAGTCGTCATCTATATGTTTCATGTAGGACAAGATAATAATGAATCATTTCAAAAACAATATGAAAATTTTACTTAAATGAGTCACTTGACTGCCCCACAAAGATTATATCATATGATTCATATCTTTCTCTCTTTAATATCTCTATAAATACCTAAGTATGTAACTATGCATATAAATATACAAAACATCTAAATACCCAAAGACACAGGAAGAGCTAAACTGCTATATACTAACTAAGATCATTTCATCATCATCAACACCACAAATTTTCTTTTCTGTTTCTTAAATCGAATTATTTGATAATAATGTCTGGAAGAGGGAGAGTGAAATCGGAGCCGATGAAGGTTGTGTTCATTAACACACAGTATGTTGAGACAGATGCTCGTAGCTTCAAGACCGTTGTTCAAGAACTCACCGGTAAGGACGCCATCGTCGCCGCCGGTCCTTTTGATTCCCCCTCTGCTACCGACGGCCGTTGTTATGGTGGGGGTAGTAAAATCGGGGAAGATACCAGACAGCTCTACGGCGGTGGCGACGGAGGAGGAGGAGGACGAGTGGGGACGATGACCGAGTTCGATAGATTATTCAAAGAGATGCCTCCCTTGGAAGAATTGTATAAACTATGGTCAGAAAATTGAGTCATTAATAATTTATGTGTGAATGATTTTAAATCATTCGTTTTCTTCCAAAATCTTTCTTTTATCTACTGAGATAATGTCGATTGATTGACTGATCGAATCACTAATCTGGATCGTCACTCTGAGATTTGGTCCAATTACGAATGTTATGTTTTGGAAAGTATAATATGAGTTACATTTCAGTACAGCCCATGTCTCTGAATTTTAAACGAGCTTATAGCTTTCGTATGTTGTTTAAAGGCCCATGAAGCCCAAGTATATGCGTTTTTTGATGTTGCTGGTCAGCCTATAACTGGAATTTCCAAAAAGTTGGGATTTTAATTTTATACAAACTTAATATATTAAGTACACACATAGATATTAGGATACTAGCTACTAAGAGAGTAATACTATAATGTTCTTCGGACAATTTTGTAAATCCAACATGCTATAGTTCACAACAACCAAATCAAGCATTATGTGAACTAATCTTCTTGTGTTTATATATATAAAAAGAGGTTTGTGTATGTGCGTAAATGGCTGAGACAAATAGCAACAAAACTCATGGTTGACCTTCTCGTACCAAACCTTAACCAATTTTGTGTTGGGTGAACCATTTCTTTTCATCAACCCAAAGCACACACACACACGATCAATTTTAATCGTCTCGTCTACAATTCTTGTTTTATTTTTCTTTCTTTCTTAATCTAGCTTTCTGGCAGTTATTTTCAGGTTTATTCTGGTATTTAGTTGGGTTGATTCAACGATTATTAGAAACATTTATACGTCAACATAAAATATAAGTCTTTTTAAAAATTATTAGCTAATAGAATCCCGTAAGCAATGTTGTCGTCAACAGGAGCCATTATAAAATTCAATTAAATATAACATTATCGCCGACTAATCTAGTTTTGAAATATCACCAAACTTTAAACACATAATGAGTCCTCGTATCAATAACACCCCAAATTTAACTATCTTCTTCATTTTGTTCCATAAATGAATTTGATGGTAAATTACGAATATCGGACTATAGACTATTATGCAAATGCGACAAACAAATATACAATTAAAGAATAAATTCACCTAGTTGTTAAAAAAAAGACATTATTCTGATCCAACTCGGTGCTTAAGACAAAACCGCCTTCACAAGATTTCGTATATTCTAAGCTTTTTTTAGTCAACAAACGAAAAAAAACATAAATAAACGCCACGACGGCGTTTTATACGAAAATGAAATCCACGCGCGAAGAAAGAAGCGCGTGGAGAGGAAAGAAGCAAAGAGTGGATTCTTTGGTTCGTCTCTTACTCCATCGTTTCCTGTTACCTTTTAGCTTCTCCACATCATCATCATCTCTCTCTCCCTCTTGTGATTTTCCCTCAAAATATTAAAAAAGAATTTCAGATACAGAACTTGTTGTTGTAATCTAATCTCTCTGTTTTTCTTTTTTTTTTTTTTTTCCTATGAATTTTATATAATACGAAAGAGACACACAACACTGTATTATCTTGCTTCTTCTCTCTTCTTCTTTCTCTCTTCTCTCTCTCTATCTCTACAGAGTAAAGTTCTGATCGTGTCTCTTATCGTTTACCCAAAAACCTTTCTTTGATCTCTCTCGTTTCTTGTTTTCTTCTGCCCTCGAAGTTTTCAGGTTTCTTTCTTTCTTCTCCGATTTATCTTTCTTTCTTCTTTCCGTACTTCTTTATCAGAATTTGTAGGGTTTCTTCTGTTTATAATTCGTGGAATATTTTGGAACGTTTAATTAGGTATTTAGGGTTTGACCCCCCAATTGAATTAGTTCCAAAGTTAGGGCTTTTATGTATCAAATTAGGGTTTTACCCCAATTGTGTTCTGAAATTTGAATTCACCATTTGCGCAGGTTATGGTGAAGATTGTACCTTTAGGTTAGAAATTAGGCTTCTTTGTTTCTCCAGTTAGTGAGATTGTAGAAAGAAATTGATTTTAGGTGTTAATGTGAGATTATTAGTAATCATAATCTCTGCTCTTAAGAAGGTAGTAGGAGAATAGGGTTTAGTAGAAGAAAGGTTAAAACTTTGGTGATGGGTAATAAGTTGGGAAGGAAGAGGCAAGTGGTGGAAGAAAGGTATACAAAGCCACAAGGTTTGTATGTGAATAAAGATGTCGACGTTAAAAAGCTCAGAAAACTCATTGTAGAGTCTAAGCTTGCTCCTTGCTATCCCGGAGACGATGAAAGCTGCCACGATCTTGAAGAATGCCCCATTTGTTTCCTGGTTTGTGAAAGTTATCACTCTCTCTGTAATTATTACATTCTCGTCACATCTTGTCGATCTAAACTCTGCCATGTTTCTTTTTCTTGTGTTTCTAGTATTATCCTAGCCTCAATAGATCAAGATGTTGCATGAAAAGCATTTGTACAGGTAAAATATTCATCACCATCTATAACATTGTACTAGTTTCTTTGTTCTATTCATGTTTCCATTTCATTTGACATGGCATTCTTTTTACAATTTGCTGCAGAGTGTTTTTTGCAAATGAAGAATCCTAATTCAGCTCGGCCTACTCAGTATCCTTCATTTTAAATCCTGTGCATAAGCCTTTAGGGGTTTCTTTAAGATTTGGCTTAATGTCTTATTAATTTGATGGATTCTTCCCTTTTATGTCCTCCTTGACATTTATGAGGTGCCCATTTTGTAAAACTCCCAATTATGCTGTCGAGTATCGTGGCGTAAAGACAAAGGAGGAAAAGGGCATTGAACAAGTTGTAAGTCAAAATTATAAATTTTTTCCTCGAGAAGCTTGATGGAATGGTGCTTTACTGAATGTTCTGTCACTGTATCTTTTTTGCAGGAAGAGCAACGGGTAATAGAAGCCAAAATAAGGATGAGGCAGAAGGAAATGCAGGATGATGAAGAGAAAATGCAGAAACGTCTTGACTCGTGTTCCTCTAGCACAAGTGCAATGACTGGCGAGATGGAATATGGTTCAGCTTCAGGTCGGTTTATTTTTCCTGCCAGAACGTGTTAAATCTTCCGTCAGGAACAAACAAAGGCGGTTTTGACAGGTTTTTTTTTGTCCCTTGGTTTGCAGCCATATCTTATAATTCCCCCATGGAAGACGGGGCAATTGCTCCATCACAGAACGCAGCAGTTGTTAGACAGCATTCCCGTCCTCGAGGAAACAGGTCTGTCTTTCACTCTTTCCATTGGCTGCTCTGTTTTTTTTTTTTGTCAAGTTCATATATGGAGTAATGTGGTAGTTGTAACCATGAACTTTCTGAATTACTATGACACTGTGATTAGACTTATTCTTGTTTTTGGGTGCTAAGTGATATGAACACAGATTCACTTAGAAATGAAGTGAGTACCATGTAAACTCACCATATTCACAAGCGTTTTTGTTCGACTAAATTAGTGAAATGCTCATTGATGTAACTTTAGTCTGAGTGATTCATATTGGACTTACTATAGATATATATTTAATTTGTCTATAAACTCTTCAGGGATGATGAGGTTGACGTTGACCTTGAGGAATTGATGATTATGGAAGCAATATGGCTCTCTGTTCAGGTAAATTTAGTTAATTGTATAACTTTGATGACAAAATTTTCAAGTCTCTCACAGCTTTTCACTGATTCTAACAGGAAACAGGGACGCAGAGAAATTCAGCTTCTGGGGAAATGACCTCTTCTAGGCAGTATGTAACAGATAATCATAGTTATGTTTCTTCACCACCACGAATGGCTCCAATCGTTGAACCAGCAACACCGTCCTCATCAGCTGGTGGACTTGCTTGTGCAATCGCCGCACTTGCTGAACGCCAAATGGTTGGCGAATCCTCCAATCACAATCACAATCACAATGTCAACGTTTCTTCATACAGTATGCTTCCTGGAAATTGTGACAGTTACTACGACATAGAACAAGAGGTAGATGACATAGACAACCATCATCATCGTCATCATCATTACCATAACAACACCGAGATGGGAGAAACAGGAAGCAGCAACAGCTATGTAAGTTCTTACATGACCGGCGAGAGCTTCCACAACTTTCTTCCTCCTCCTCCACCTCTGGTCATTGTTCCAGAGAGTTTTGAGGAACAGATGATGATGGCTATGGCTGTGTCTATGGCAGAGGTTCATGCCACGACGACAAGTGCACCAACTGAAGTTACTTGGCAATAAATAGGATAATAATGGAAACTCATGGGTCTTATATCTGATGATTATCACTTCATTCATATATGTCTGTTCCTATAGGAAGAAAGAAAAGAAATGATTTCCAGTTTTAATAGAAAAAGTTGGGTTTGTGTTGCAGCTTCTTTATGTTGTATCTCTATGGTTCTTCTTTTCAATCTGCAGTGACAAAAATGTGAAGATCCTCACTTGTTTTGTCTCTTTGATAGCAAATTAAATTGCTAAATGGAGAAGAGAAAGTCAAAGTTGACGAGGGTTGACCAAAATAGTATTAGGGGTTTAGGGTTCTAGAGTCAGCTTTTGTCATTAAGGTGTTGTATATATATTCATCTAGAGTCTTTATGGGTTCATTAAGGTACAAATTCTAAAGATGATCAATGGATTATGACTAGCAACTAACCAATTTTCAACATTTAATAGCTTGATTCGAGCAAATTGTGTTAGCGTCTTAGGGGTTCTAATTTCATCTCCCATAAACTCTTTTTTTTTTTTTTTTTTGGAAATGTAGTACTCCTATTACTTGAAGTCTTGAATTATCAACAACACAATCATAAAGAGAACCAAAAGTTAAAGGTGGTTGTTACTAGTTAGATGCTACTTACTATCATAAATCATAGTGGCGCTGAATTTTACTTACAATTTGCTCTGTACTATTTTCAATTGTCAACTGTCAACTTTTACTTTATACTACAAGAATGTAGTGAGTGAGTTGCTAAAAATGTAATGTAAAAAATATTTGACACATAAAAATGATTAGTAATGGTTGATATTTCTATCTTGAACACAGATTATTACGGGTTTTGTTTTTCAACATTGTGTATGGGTTTCTTTTATACAAGCTTGAATGTACATTATTTCAATATTCATATATTAGTTTTATGATCTATACCATTAGGAATCCAACGTTTCAAGCATAATTAAACATTGTAATAACAGATATAAACAGGAACAAATTCAGACATTAAGCAATCCACTAATGCGAAATTGAATTGAAAATGTGAAGGTTAACACTTAACATATATCCATATATTAGGTTATGATAAATTAAAAAAAAAAATAATAGTAGTTTATGATCTTAGAAACAAAAAAAAAATAATATCCATATTAAAAGATTGGAATATAAAAAGAAGAAGAAGAAGAGAAACTAAAATAAAAGAGTTTGAACTTTGTTGAAACCGACAAAAAGAAAAAACAATGTCAGAGCGATTGATAAGGGTACACACATGCGCGTAATATTATTTACGCACCATTTTTGTTTAGAGATGTGTCAATAGAGAGTATAGACATACAAATATATGCTTAATGCTTGTATTAAAAAGAACATACGATGATTTATTTCAAAATGCAACAATTTGGCAACTTTTTAGACGTTATTGCGAATCTTAATGTAACAAAAGTAATAAAAAAGAAAAAAACATTATGATTACATGTAAATTACACTTTTGTCCTTTTTCTTCCCCAAAGGTCATTCACTTTCACCAGCTTTATTTCAAATCTTCCAACGTCTACTTTTTTAATATCTCTCTGCTTCTTGAATTGAGAGTCTCTCTCTCTCTGGACAAAAAAGCTACGACCTCTCTTTTCTCCACATTTTGGGTTTTCTTGTCTTTGTGCTCTTGTTTCTATCAACCAATTAATCACACCAGCATATTCATAAACTATTTCCTCTTTTTTTCCTTCTTTAGTATTTCTCTCCTTCTTAAGACTATCGCAATCATCACTCCTTCGTATTCAATTCCAAAGGTGAAACCGAGAAAGTACTCTACATTGTCCTCAAGGTTAGTTTCAATAATAAGACTAGCTCATTTACTTATGTGTGTATGGAAATGGAAGATAAGAAACTTTTCCTCAGAGTCTGACAAATCTGATCCAAGTCTTGTTTTTTTTTTTCTTTTTTCTTCTGGGTGGGTTTTGTGAAAAATTGAAGTTTGTTGTTAATCTTGAATCTTCTAAAGCGTTTGAGTTAAAGCAAAAGCAATGTGTTGTTATCTCACTTGTGTCTGGTTTGACTCCAATAGTGAAATCTGTTCAAGAGAGTCTCACTCTCACTTAGTGGCGCGTGGCTCACAAGTCACAAGTAAATAAACAAGTTCATGTCTCTGCTTTATTCTGATCTGAGGAATGCTTTCATTTTTATCAGATCATAAGCTTTGGAGATTCAGCAACTTTGCATAAATCAAAATGCCAAAACCAAGGTAAGGGTTTACTTCAATTCTTGAAGATAATGTGATTTAGAAGATTTTTTTTGTAATTGGTGTTTGTTGTTGGTGTTGTCTATATTATCTGATACAAGTAAAATTGCAACCTTTGTGTCTTGTTGTGATCTGAGTAGTATTAGAGGTTCAGAGTTGCCTCAGAGGCAATCTCCTAGGCTAAGGACATCACTGGTGTCCACTTCCTCTGATCGGCATCACCTTAGCCGTCCGATTACAGACCGGAGTCCAAAGCTAGGCCTTGACCGTAGATCTCCGAGGAGTGGTGGGCCTCATACGGATCCGCTGACTCAGAAGAAGCTTGGAAGTCGCATCTCTGGCTTGGAGTCACAGCTAGGACAAGCCCAGGAAGAGTTGAGTTTGCTCAAACAGCAGTTGGCTAAAGCCGAAGCTGCCAAGAAACGTGCCCAAGAAGAGCTTCTTAGGAAGAAATCCAAGAAATCGGACCCTCCTGCTCCGGAGAGAGATGACATTCCTGGAGATGGACATCAAGAGACCGATGTGTTCGAGGTTCTTGTTGAGAAAGCAAAAGAAAGTGAGAAGACGAAGAATGATGAATTGGCTTCTAAGGAAGACCAAATCAATGTATTGAAAGCTAGACTATATGACTTGGAGAAAGAAAGGGTATCACTTGGCCAAGAGAACGAGGGCTTGAAGAATCAGTTGAAGAAGACGGATTCGGAAATGTCCAGCGCCAAGGCGAAAGAAGATGAGATAGCTTCAAAGGTGAGTCAGATTGGGGAAGAACTGGAAGAAAGCAATGAGACCACAGCGAAGCTAAAGAAAAAGCTCGAATCCGTGGAAGAAGCAAAAGAGAGTCTAGAAGCTGAGATGAAGAAGCTGAAGGTCCAAACCGAGCAGTGGAGGAAAGCAGCAGATGCTGCAGCTGCGGTTTTAGCTGAAGGGGTTGAGATGAATGGCCGGTTCTCAGAGCAGTATGGGTCAATGGAGAAGCATTTTGCAGGCAGGTTTGTCGGATCACCGGGAATGGCTGATGATTCGGATGACGGGTTAGGGTTTGGGAAGAGGAAAGGTTCAGGGATGAAAATGTTCGGTGACCTGTGGAAGAAGAAAGGGCAAAAATGAAGTGATAGAACAAACAGTAGCGTGTGATTCAAGGAAACCGGTGCTTTTACTTGGTGGGATGATCTAAGTAAGTGTCTCTACGAAATGATGGCTCACCACTTCGTATTATATAAATTATCTAGAGAAATCTAGTGATGAACATTTAGACAATGATTGTGCTGCTTCACCAGAAGCTAATTGATCAGAATTCTTGATCACTTCATTTAGTTTCTTGCTGCTGCATTCAGATTTCCCAAAGCATTTAAAGAGCAAGTTTGGATCTTAGATAAGTTAGATCTCTGATACTGAAATAATCCCTTTCCTAATCCATTTTAACTAATTTGATGTATATAAAACCAAGATAACCACTAGACTAACGTTATAAAGAAAAAAGAAAGTAGAAGTCGTTATAGAAACTTTTAGATACCAACGATACCAACGTTAAAAAACAGGGCTTTCAGATATCCAAGTTGGCCCAAGTGAATATAACAATACAGTGACAAATCACTTTCCCTTATGTGAACTCTTAAGTAAACGACACGCTCACATAAAAATGTCTTTGTCGATATCTTTAATACTGTTATAAAAATGTCAGCCATAAAATGTAATATGTTTTTGACCCAACAATGTATTATCGGACTGTAAAAATTAGGTTTGTATATGTGGGATTTTTATTTTGGTTTCAAATGGAGACGTGCGGATTGGGACGTGAATTTTTGCGGGACGGCTAGGATTTTAATTAAAGATATCGCTATTACGCATAAGCATTCACGCGAGCATTTTCTTCAATTATTGGATCAACAATTAACTTCAAACATACATATATTATTTATACATAAGCAAATAGCACACAGTTAAATCTATATATCACGAACAAAGTGATTTAATCAAACAATGTATTATTATTTGTAGTCTTTCTCTCGAATTGTTGAAGCCTATTATCAGACAATCTAGAGTTGTAGGCAGAGTTTCTGTACTCAGACCAAGTGAACTCTTCGTACAACATCTCGTCTTCGTTGTCCATAAGACAAGTCAACGGAGCGATTCTCTGAGTCAACGAAGGTCCAGCGAAGTAAATCATAGAAACCCTAGATTTGTCACTGTTCGCTAAAACCCTATGCCTCACGCTCCTGAACCTCCCATTTGTCATCACCTGATACAAAGAAAAACGGCTTCCATCTTTTGGTCTGAAACAAGAACCTACGAAGAAGATACTAAGAGATGAGACGAACCTGAAGAGAGTCACCAACGTTGAAGAAGAAGGAAGAGTGATCGGGAGGGACAGCGACCCAAGAGCCATCAGTTAGATTGATTTGGAGACCAGAAGTGTTGTTAGATCTCAAGACAGAGATGATTTGAGGATCTGTGTGTTCGCCAAAACCGATCACATTTTCCCCACCGTTGGTCTTCTTGTCGATAAGAGGACATGGTGGATAGTGGTTAAGTCTCAATATCGAATCCGTGTTTTGGTCAGACACAAGCTTGCTTATTGTGTTCATCGGTTTGATCCCTAACCCATCTGTAATCATCTCCAAAACATCGCATGTCATTTTTCTCACTGATGTTGTGTACTCTTCCAATGCGTTTCTGATAAATCAAAGAACAAAACTTGAGACGGGCAACTATATTCTATAGACGTAACCACAAAAAAAAACAAGCCATAATAAAGCATATATAGAAAGAAATAGAACGTGAACTATGAAAACAAACACAGAGCATAAAACAGAGCACTAACTCGAAAACAGAGCACAAAGGTGTTATCAAAGCAAGGGACATTTTAAACCTGAAAGTTCCCGGGCTTTTTAGAAGACTCTGAAATAGTGGACCCGAACCGGGATCAAGACTAGCATTCATCAACAAGTACTCAACCCAACCCACGTCACCATTCCGACCAATCTTACTGTTCCCGTATCCAAAAGGATAACCTGCGACTTGGGTTTTCTCTGACTTGGGCAACGAGAAGAACTCGACGGTCTCGTGTTCTAAAACAGAGACTAGCTCTGCGGAAACGCCATGGTTGATCACCTTGAAGAAGCCGAAGTCTTCGCAGGCTTTGACGAGGGCATGCTTGGATTCTGGGTCAGACATATCTATAACCGGGATTGGAGAGAACCCGGATTTTGGTACTGCGACCGGTTTAGACAAGACCGCCATTGATATATTTGTTGTTTGTTAGGTTTTTTCGTTTTTTGGGGGGGTTGATTTTGATAGCTTTGAGGCTGAGACATCGAGTTATGTACTCGGAGGAGTGTATATATAGCAGATGAGAATGAGATGATAATAAAAGATCTTACAAAGACGTACGATCAAACTGCTCAAAACTAAAGCTAAATCACCTATTTCTCTCTTTTTATGTATCGACATCAATAAAGTTGAATATATCAGAGACAAAATTTGTGAAAGCCTCCATTGTGATTAGTTATTTGCTAAATATTCCATCTGTTTCTAAATAATGTATTTTTTAGAGTTTTCACACATATTAATATTTAATTATAAATGTATTATTTTTGTGATTTACAAATTTCTATAATTCTAAACCAATAGTATTCAATTATTTTCTTGAAGTTTACAATTCATCAATACTAACTAGTAAATATTGCATAGAAAAACCTAAAAATTATATTTTGTTGAAACAAATTATTTTCCTAGAATATACATTATATAGAAACAGAAGGAGTAGTAAAAAAAAAATCAAATGGTTTGTCAACAGTGATATAAAATAGGGTAAATTTGCAAAAGAGACTCTTTTTTTTTTTTGTTAAGATATTAGGTTTAGGTAAATGATGACAACAATTTTTTTTTTATTATTTTTTTTTTTTTGTGAATGCCTCGATTTTGATTTTGTTAAAGTACAAAGGTCAATGTTTTTAGAAGAATTATGGAGATAAACAAAATATTTGAGAGCGAAAGGAATTTGATCTTTGTATGGGAGTTAGTTGGCTGACATAATCACTAATTTTCGTACTAGTTTCCCAATAATATTCTAAGTATACTTTTTTTTTTTATGGCTTTGCATCCTCTATGTGTAAACATCACCTACTTTTGGTGATTATAACTACTCATGACCCGGCTACCATGACCTCGTCATTCGTCAACCGGTCCGATGAATCTAAGTAGACTTTTTAATTTAATCTTTCTTTATGTCCCTCAATGTTAGCAACGATAACGAACGATCTTCGAGATATTGTTGTTTTGATACTTGTTACCAGCAACTTCAGAGGAGAGGGGTAAGATATTGGCTTGGAAAAGATCCGAGTTTGTTTGGAAAATTTTCCGGTTATATAAAAAAATGTTTATAAACAAGCACATAAAATTAAATTTGTGGTCCATATATAGTTTTCTTAAGACTGATTACTTATATTTAGTAAATATTTTTTGCCACATCGAAATGCATAAATATCAAAGATACAATGCATTATATCATAAATGATAGAGTTATCCAAACATACAGTTTGGATTATGTTCTTTACTTTTAGGTGCTTTCATATCCAATATCAAGATTCATTTTTAGTGAAAATATAATGGCTAAATCTGCTACAAATAGTTTTACAGAAAAATGAATCGATACTTCATTGTTCATTAACTTTATATATGTTGTGAACTGTGTCTTTCATTAATAGTATAAGGGATATATATACAAGGATAATAGCAGGATACAGAGAATAAGGTAAAACCCTAATGGGCCATGGGCCGGTTATGGAGTCCATCCATATGGTTTATAACACTCCCCCTTGGAAGACATAACCGTGCCCGATACTAAACCGAGATCTCTATAATGCGCTGGGGAATGTTGCCTCATTAAAACCTTACCAGGAAAACCCAGTGGGACAAAACCATGGTGAAGGAAAAAGAGTACAACACGCATTACTCCCCCTGATTTGAGCATCACTGTAGATCCTTAAGTCCGTGCATCCCGATCTGATGAATGAGCTTCCGGAACGTTGAAGTCGGCAATGATTTGGTGAATAGGTCGGCTGAATTCTCACTTGACCGGATCTGTTGAACTTTGACCTGACCGTCCTTCTGTAATTCATGAGTGAATAAGAGTTTTGGCAAAATGTGCTTCGTCCGGTCTCTCTTAATGTAGCCATCCTTGAGTTGAGCAATACAGGCTGTGTTGTCTTCAAATATGATGGTCTTTGATGTAGTAGTAGTTGCGCCTTAAGGAAGGCTGCCTACGTATCCTAGGAAGGGATCAAGCCACACGTAGTTCCTATTCATTGACCATACCATAATCTGATCTTATGAATATCCTGCATTAGTAAATCAAACTAAACCAAAGCAAACTAGACCTTCTTTGGTTAGATCAGTATAGAATAAAACCCAAGTAAACAACGCAGGAAGAATGAACTTTAAATTTTAAACAAACCTTCCTTTAAACCTTTCCAGTGCCTTTGGGTTGATCATGAACTAAATTTAGACAGGAGACTCATGGCAAAACAAATGTTTGGTCTAGTGTGTCTAGCCAAATTCATTAGAACTCCTATGGCACTGAGGTATGGCATTTCCGGACTGAATGGATCACTATCCAATCTGAGGCTTCTCACCACCATTGGGCCTGGTCAATGGGTGGGCCTGGTCCTTATTAAATCTCCTTGAGTACTCTTTCAGTGTATGCCATTTGATGCACAAGGATTCCATTATTCACGTACTCAGGTTGTAATCCCAAACAGAACTTAATTATTACCTAGGTCTTTCAACTGTTTGGTCGATTACCCAGAGGGTTAAATCATTCATATAAACTGCTATGATTACAAATCCTTTGTTTGCAAACTTCTTGATAAAAATACATGGACTGATCGGATCGTTTTTATAGCCTTCTCTGATGAGATATTCGCTTAACCGGTTATACCACATACGTCCGCTTTGTTTCAGTCCATAATATGATTTGTCCAGCCTTATGCAGTGCTGTTCTCGAGAATCTTTCTTATCTTTGAGCTCAATACCCTTTGGTAATCTCATATATTATCCAGTGGACTTATATAAATATGCAGGCATTACATCCATTAGCCACAAATCTTTCCCTTTTATATAGCCAGACTTAGCAAAGATTTAAATGTCTTAGCATCCACCACAGGGAAGTATATCTCCTCTATTTCTGGTCTCTGTGTGAATCCTTGTGCGATAAGCCGTGTATGATATATCAAGCTTTCACTATGTTTATTTCACACAATCACAAAGACTCATTTGTCCCACTGGCTTTACATTGATTCTTAGCTCCACGTTTTATGGTCTTGTACCATTTTAATCAATCAGGTCTTTGAGTGCACTCTAGTATAGACGTGGGCTCCTGATCCTCATTCATTTCAGTTGCTACCTCATGCGCAAATATATTATCATTGATGTCGACATCTTTTCGGTTCCATTGTATTCTAGACATGATATAGTTTATAGAGATCTCTTTACACCTTCAGGACCTTGAGGTTTGGCGTCCCAAACCTCATTGATTGGTACCTTAGGGTTATGTCTATTAGCCGGCCATGTCTATGGTTTCTTGAACCTTCTCGGTTTCCCTTGCACCTTTCTTTGATTTCCGAGGGTTCTTGTCTTTGGAACCTTTTGGGTCTACCACGTTTCTTACGTGTTGTAGCCTCTGTAGCAACTTGATTATGTTCCTTATGAATATCAATATGTACTGGTGCATTACAAGCTGGTATGTACGATTTTGTTACTCTCTTTGGGTCATTATAGGAATCTTGGCAACTGTTTTAGCTAGCTTTTGCAGATATATAGTCTTTTGGATCTCTGATGGAGTCCGAGGATCTTGCCATGTGAAGGATGTTTGATTCCATGTAAGTTCTTTGACCAGCTTGTTAGTCTCTCCACCCAGTGTTGGGAAAACGGATTCATTGAGATGACAATCCTTGAATCTGGCCTTTGGCTCGAGATACTTAATGATGGTGGGAGAATCATTGTTAACGTATATTCCCATCCCCTTTTGAGGTCCCATCATTTGCTCTCTGTGGTGGTGCAATGGGTACATAGACTGAACACCCAAATGTCTTAAGATGGGAAACGTCTGGCTCATGACCCGTTATCAATTGGGATGGGGAATATCTATGCTCACTAGAATGGCCTGATGCGTATAAGCTCTTGTTGCATGTAATATTGTGTGTCCCCAAGCAGCTACTGTCAGTTCAAGTATGGACATGTGCCACGGGGTATACTACTCTCCCCCTCATGGACATACTGTAGCCATAAAACGCTTGAGACATAATTTACCAGCATTATCTAGACATATAGTCTTAAGTATGTGGGCTCACAGACTTATGGTCTGGGCCAGCAATCTAGCAAACACCAAGTTTCTAGTTGCTTTGACTGGTGATGACCTTAGTATGGGTTTACCTTGTGTACATGCTGCACACGTGAGGTCCTTAAGGAGTGTGCCCTTTTGATTTTAATATCAGCTTTACGCATCATGTTAGAACCAGGCTGGCCAAGCCGGTCATGCCATTAGTGAATTTCTCAGTAAATCCTTTTGTTTACTGTATTAGCCTCTATCATATTGACCTTGGCATAGTAAAGGTCTATGACGCGGGTATAGTCTCTAAGACCTTCTCATGGTCTTGGGTGCTCTTAGTAATATATGGGAATCCTTTGTTCCCTTCACCCTTGGTTTCAATGTGGAAACCATTCAAACACTTTTCTTTGAAACTCAACAAGGCCCCTTTGAGCTGGGTGAATATGAAGCATCTGAGGATGCGTGCCCTTGGGAATATGGGCCTGCCATGGGCCTGCCCTTAGCCTTCACTAAATTTAGCTATACCCGCAATTTGGCTAATCAACCATGTCTTTGGATATTTCGTTGGCATTCCGAAGTCTCATAGTCATCTATCTCATGGTCGAAATCTTCTTCACCATTGTGATGAAATGAGCTTCTAGATTCTTTTCAAACTCTCTTGATAGAGATCAATGAGATGCTTAGGAGTCATGCACGTCTTAGTCCAATGGTTTCCCCATTCCTCATCAGTGGCAAACAAGTTTATTTGAGTGTTGTGGTTTGGGTATACCACGGCCTCTAACTCGATTACGACCAAAGTCGGGTCGGCGGCCTTAACCATATGAATGGTTTCCTTGATCATATAAATTATAATTGCCATGATACTTATCTTTTTGGACGTGGTTAGACTCTTTAGTCTCTTTATGCTCTTTAGGCTCTTCAGCCCAATGGGCTTCTGATAATGGGGTAGGACCAGGAGGTCTCATTTCACTATTCATAACTCATTGTTTTGCTCAGCAAGTAGCAAAACAAGAGTTTAGACTTGCATATGTGGTAAAAACCTTTTTTTTTTTTTTTTTTTTTTTTTTTTTTTTTCACGATATTGTTGCTGAGGCAATATATTGTTTGTGTGAAAGGTCGAGAATGCTTTCTTTAGCAAGTCATTCTCAGTAATTTCCTCACCACGGAATCTCAGTATTGACACTATTTTAAATAGTGCTGAGTTATACTCATTCATGGATTTGAATTATTAGAATCTGAGATTCTTTCGATCGAATCGGGCTTTTGGGTAATAGCACCGTTTTTTTTTTTTTTTTTTCAACTCTGTCCTGAGGTCCAGAGGATTCTTAATAGTGAGGTACTGA